CTCAAACTCTAGAAATCCTAGATCAATACCTCTGCTAAACCAGAGAAATTTCAGGAACTTTTTATGGGGCAGGAAATTCCTAGCATTTCAATTAAAAACCATATCTATATTTTTCAAAAGCATTTTCATTTCTGTAGTTCAAAAAAAACCTTCAAGATAATATTATTCCCCCTAACTATAGAAATATCATTCAATAAAGTAAAAAGTCTCATGATAGTTTTGTTTTATGAACTTTGTGATTACACTTTGCAAATGGTAGACAAAAAAACAGAAAAAAAACAACATCAAACAAAAAGAAGTTAAATTTGCAGATAATGACAGCTGAATACTGCTTTCAAATCTCCACCTCTGTGCTGCAAACAACATAAACAAGAGACCATGCAATGACGAGACAGCTGTTCAGCAAAAGCGAAGTCAGTGTAAAGCCAGTGCTAATCTATGTTCCTAATTTCAGCCCTGTCTCTTACAACACAAATATTCTGGTCCAGACAAAAGTTCTCCTTACAACTGATCTTGCACACCCATTTATTTTCTAGCACAAGATAGAAAAAAATTTCTGGTTTCAAATCATGTCTGCATTCACAATCATAAATCCTCACTCATGTGAGCTAGGATGAAACCACAACTCCCACTGGTGTTTCTTAATATAGCTTGGCAAGGATTAAAATATATCAGTATTAAGCGAATAAAGTTATGGGATTAAATTATTCTTAATTTATAAGATCATCCTCCCGCCTCTCACTAATGACAGGCAAGAACAATGCATCTACCCCTGGCGTTGTTTCACGATTTTACTTTTTCATAGAAAAGATGTTTCTTCGTAATATATTTTTTTGTTGTCAATGACAAAAATCAATCAATCAAACAAAAACTAGGTATTTTTTCGTGTACCAATCTCTAACGCATCCCGCCAACTCAAGACTATGGTGTCACATCTAATGTAATCTTTCAGACACTGAATCTTTTTTAATATTCCTTAATTCTCTTTATGTAGCAATAATCGAGAGTAAAATAAAGAACAGGTTAGGGTACGTTTATGTTGGAAGAGCGATAAAAGATTAGAGCGACGAGAGAGTATCTCAGCTCTGGTGTTCATGACGGAGCAACGCGAAGCAGCGCCGCTCCGAATTTGTCAGACATCTGCAGAACTTTCGGCTAAACTAACTTGTCCCTTCCATACCAACCTTACGTGAATCACCCGCCATACTTTCTTAATTGGCTTAGGGACTTTAGGTTACAGTTTAAGTTGAACGGCAGGAAGAGCCAACCTCAACTTCATTCCCCTGATCAATGGAATTTTGCTTGGCATTACAGCCTACGACATCTATAGGTATTTTTTTCGCTGGATGTTTGGCATATTTGATAAAGAGAGATATGTCAACCTCTCTCAATTCCCCCTGCAACATGCGGCAAAGAGCTGTGTGGAACCCGCGAGAGAGTCGGTCCTAGCGCGTACTTATTTCGAAGTTTTTGTTCTGCGAGCGAATTCAATAGTGATTTGTTTTGAAAATGTATTATTTTATGTTTTGCTTGGCATTTTCATCGATGCGTCGTGATTTGACGAAAAACCCTTCAATAATTATGCTGAGGAGAATTGTAGAGTGAGACACGTAAAAAATATACACGACGAGAAGAGAATTGTTCAATTTGATATCCTGGCGGAAATAGCGATGATTATAGAGGTAAGCTGCCTTGGCTACAATCATTATTAAGTTGGTTTGTTTCGAACATGCCATAAAAATAAATTATCACTATTAACATAGCAATAATGTAAACAATGCTCTTTCAATAAATGTTCTAGTTAAAAAAAATGTTCTTGGCACTTCATTTTATTAAAAGCGCAACTTCTCTTTAACCATGGATTGAAGAAATGCTGGTAGAGTGTGGGTTTTAGTTCGAAATCGGCCACTAAATTTTATGAAGCAATGCCAATCTTTGGAGAATCAATAATGCCTTCGCAACTTTCTCAGTAGTTCGAGGTATCTTCTGGACCTTCAACTCCTTCGGACATTTAGTTAGATTTTTTATAGAAAATAAAGGACAGAAATTCTCGTCTTCAACACAAACTAGTATCTATTTCACGCCAGTGAAGATGTGTTTGGAATGTTGTCATCAGTGCTCGCTGCGAGCTTTTGTCTTCAACTGTTTATTGCGCCAGAGAGGGGGAAGTAAAGTCATCGTTCAAGAAAAGTTGCGCGAGTAATACGTCTATTATTCTTAAGTTTATTCACTGATAAAACATTTAAAATGTTTAATGGCATTAAAAAAATTACTATATGTTATAAATTATCCCTCTCTAAACTGCTCCCACATAGTGAAGGTGCCATGGATAGCAAGCACATTAGAATTAATCATCCCAATCAATCTGGGTGAATGTCTAGGTTATTTGTGTTTTATTGTTCATTGTTATTGCTTCATTTACCAGTAAATGTAATTAATTAAATGTTTTTAATGGAAATGAAGATTCAACATTGAAAGAAAACAACAAACAAAATCACGTTTGAACAATGAGAATTTAATTTTATGTGAAATAACATGTGGCATAGAGATATCACTTAGCCATACTTATTTAACAAATTCATTTCTATAATATTCATATAAGAATTTATTCTTATATTTGTAAATCTGTTATTTTGATTTATAAATTGTGCAGGAGGAGCTAAAAATTATTCTCCACTTTACTTGTGACACCATACTGATAGTAATCACTTTTAGTAATATGATCAAAGCAAATATTAACAATTTTTACTGAATTTCAAGATAAATCTCCAACAGATATAAGAATGTATCATTATTTACTATTGGACAATTAACATTGTTTTATGTCAATAATTCTATACTAAGATGACAAAATGATATAAGTCACTTTTCTATAACATGAGATACAAAATGACACAAGTTACTCTAGTTTGTTCATGTTCAGAAGTAGGTAAAGAGTGCTAAAGAGTGAGTCTCTTGTTGTTTATGAAAAAACACTGGTGGCAAATTGCAATAAGACAAAAGCCAGAGTAATTTTTCATGACATTTTGATGCTTAAAATTGCTGTAATGGAAAATTTTAAAAAAGTGACTTGGAACATTTTGCCATCTAAGCACAGAATGACTAGAATATGTTCCAGAACATTCGTTTGAAGATAAGCATTATATAAATATTTCCAATGTTTTTCTACATTTATTAAAGTATTATTTTTCAATAAATAACTTAAACTCATTTTTTAATGAGTAAACACTCATTCATTAGAAATTGAGTAAAGAAATTGCATTTCTATTTATTTTTACATTTTTAATTAAATTCTTCTGTTAGTTTTTTATAATGGATTTCAACCTACATTACATAAAAAAATACACAATTTTTTTATGAACATATCTATAAATGAAGATCTGCACAAACAAAATTATCATTGAAATTCATTATCTACTGCAGACCTGATCTGTTTAAGCAGTCAAGGGACACAAAAATAATAATCCAAGAGTTATTGCATTCCCATGTCTTTCTTTATCACTGTCATAATGGTTTGTATTTTAGAGCAGTCTTAGGGAATCTTTCTTGACTCTTTTAATAAAATCCTATCTTTTCTACAGATTCTTTTAAACTTTCTTTGTTGCCTTTGTAATTGTTTCTCTGTGGATACAATATACAACAAATCCAAAGCAATGTGTTTCCAAGGACAAGATCTAAGATAAGTGAAGATTTTCATTAAAAGATAAAAAACTGAACAAGTATCAGCATTCCAATATTTAGGCAACCATATTGGACTAAATCTTCAATACTTGCAATATAATTTTTTAAAAATAAAATAGATTAAATGGAGTAATCAAAATATTTTGAACACTTTGGCTATTTTTGAAATTAATATCTGTAATTTTTTTTAAATTCTCAAATGTTGAATTTTTGCACTTTTAAATTGTCAAATATGATTCTATCAAACAAATTTGAGCCATAGATGAAGCGACATATTTTGGCGTGACATCATTTCTTTATCTCAAGTTCCATTGTTGTCTGCTATTCAGGCAAAAATAATTTTAAATGACTTGGGGTAGTCATTGTGAAGGATTTAGCTTTTCCTTTCTTTCTTACTTCCAGTTTCCTATTACGGATATGGATTCTTGGTATATGGAGACGTTTGTGTAATAATTACATAATTTTCCCAAGCTTTTCTTTATTTACACATTTTTTTCATATACTATTTAAGAATTATTATAATATGGTACCAAAAAAATATTTAATGGTCTACATGTCCTACTTCAAATAACGAGATATTGTAGATTTTCCACTATAATAAATATTCTTCCTATAGAAGTTGAGGTTAAGTTACCAATTGTAAGAAAGAGTGCATATTTCATTAATTTTATTGACTTTTATAATAATTAATATATAATTTATCAATTTAAATCTTTGCGATTAACGTTTTCAACCATTTCTGTTGCATCATATTATTTTGTGACAATTTATGACATGGCATCTTCCAAGAGGTTGTGCAACTTCGTACATAATATTTGCCTATTTTCTGCAAATAATGCAACTCTACAACAAAACAGAAGAAAAGTAAATAATATATATTCATGAACTCGCGCACAACTACTTTCAAAACGTGCGCAAAAATGCGACCGCAGCGCTATCTGCCCTAAGAGATTGACCAAGGAAACAAATTTCATTCTGCTTTTTAACATTGAGTGTACCAGCCTTGATGGGGACGTCCATATTGCTTTGTACTTATCGCTGCTCCAACATAAACATACCCTTAAACACCGTGAATTTATCACATATACTGACTGGAGAACAATAAAGAGCTTTGAATACGAGGACCTAAAAATTGTACAAGCAAACCATACTTTTAATACTTATTTTCGCATGTTTTCTTATTAATATGTCTTTTATTACTTGCCAAGCTGTAGGTCACATGAAATCTGCCATCGTGCAGACACTAGCAAGCAAGGAAAGGTGATGAAGATACTGTAGGCATAATAAGGCAGCAGGTGGCAGCCTGTGCAATTACTGACCGAAAATGTCCTCCTCCTGGTTGATATCCTCAAGAGTGCAGGAACTGTACATTGAGAGTGTCATCGTTCGCTCTTCAACTTGTTTCACTAGTTCATCTATACGAGCTTCGTAAGTCTGCAGCAATCACAAAGCAAACATTTAGATGATATTATTGACAAAAAACGTGCATTAACAAATTAAAATGACTTGGAATATATTCAAAAGTTTGTCAGAAACACATTAAACCAGACCAAGTTCTTTCAAATCAACAAACAGGTTAAACTTTTTCCTTCAGAGTTTTTAGCAATAATATTTTCATAGCTTTTTCTATATATGGAAGAAGTGCATCGCTTTAGTTTCAAATAGCATTTCATATTTACTTAGACTTTTTCCCTTTGTTGTTCATGCCTTACATTTTCAAATAATTTATAAATATTTCCCAAACAATTCCCAACAATAAAAAAAACTGCTTCTATTAAAAATTTTGCAGATTCTTAGAATTTCTGGACCCTTTCTTTCCAAGAATTGAAATCAAATGGCCTGATTTTGCTTGTCCTAGAACATAAGGGAGATGCATTTTGGAAATACTTAAAAGTTAAAGAATATTAATTATATATTACAAATTATGAAGCATAAACCTAATGTTTTCAATAAAAAAGTGCTATTTGTAAGATTGATTCATTGATTTGAGAAATAATTACCAGCAAAATGAAGTGATGCTTAAAGATCCTACAGAGAACACAATGCAAATAGAGAAAATCTTCTAAATATATTTTCTTCAAATACAATAAACCCTCTAGCATAAACTTACTTAACACAAAATTCGTAGTCAAATGAACAAAATTTGGATCCCACCAAAGAAAGAAAGTAACGAAGTATATCTAAAAACCAGATAACACAAATTTTTATAATAAGAACACCAATTATTTCAGTCTTTTGGAATTTCTGTGTATGAGGGTTTACTGTAGTATGTTTTTCCTAAACTTCAAAAATTCTATAAGAGAAAATGCTAGCAACAATTGCCTTGAATTACGTTTAATTTATAACGTGAAGTGAAAGTTATTTAATGCCGTTTCTCTCCCTCAAAGATAGCTGATCATTTATTTCTTCTTTTTCTCCCTTCCTGCCAGTAATTTTTTCTAGGGCACAGCAAGAAAACACTATACTGATCACTTAGATCATTTTGCCCACCTTGCGTTGTTCTTCAAAGGCCTGATCTGCCACCTCTTTCTCTTTGCGATACTGTTCCTCCAGGACCATCAGTCGCTTCTCCATTTCGACTTTCAGGTCTATGCCCTGCTTCTCCAGCAGTTCCACTTGGGCAAAGTTCCAGTCAACAGGCTCTCCTGTTCCTGGAGTTTCCACCGGAGAACCTTTCTCCAGCTCTTTCTCAATTTTGTCTGGCACTGAAAAGAAAGCGCACATTTCAAAACAAAATATAATCTAGCAATTCTGACCACCCACTTTTCCTTCATACTTGGAATCACAACACGGCATGTTCAGACCCTTATTACTTCTGCAATAGCTTTTACACTTATGTCTTGGACCGTGAAAATAATTTATAAATGAAATTATACACTTGATAGAAATAACTTGTTTATTTTGTACCCTGAAGAGATCATGTGGCAATTGTATGGGGACACATACTCCAGCCTGAGGGAATGATAACTGTTGTACTAAGGAGGGCAGATCAAAATCAAGTACAATAAGCAAATTGTTCAAGATTTGTACTGTCCAAAATTAAGAGTAGAAGGCTCATAAATTTAAAGAAGCAAAACTGTAGCAAATTAGTCCCTGGATTGAAGATCTAAAATTGTATCTGAATGTGTAATGTTGACTAGAGAAGCAAGTCAAAGGGACTGCTACAAAAGTTCATGAAACTCAACATTGGAAAATAATAACTTAATGAAAAGCATCTTCCTGTAAATAAATTGGTTGTTTTCTCACAAATTAGTGTGTCTCAATTTTGTACTTGTGTCAATTTTTTGTCCCTTAATAATGGTGGATTCTTAGATAAGAAAAAAGAAAAAAATAAAACAACATACCTGAATTTTCAATTTGATCTGCTGATTTATCCTGCTTCTCTCGAGCTAAAAAGGCAAGTAATGAAATTGTAATATTAATATATTGCTAACCTATTAAAAACCTATGTTAAAAGCAAGCATGTATCATCTACCTTGTTCAGGATGGTTGAAACGGAACACATGGTTTTTGCCAAGAATGACACGTGAGCCAGTCTTGAGAGCAACTGTTGATGTAACCTGACGTCCATTGATGTAGCAAAGGGCTCCTTCTTTGGGTGTCATTGTTATCACACCTTCATTATTTTCAAAGATACAGTGCTCACTCAAAATATGGGAGCCACTGAGCTGAATGTCTTGTGGGATGTTTGCTTCTGCAGATCCCAACCGAGTGCATCCATCTTTGATGTAATACAGTAGGCACTCCGACATTGATGGGTCTTCGTTTAGGTTCACCAGATGTGGGGTCTGAAAAAATATTATTTTCAAGTGCACAGTAGGTTTTAACAACTCTTGAAAGTTTACACTTTAAAGTCACTACAAAGTCAAATTAGAGTGGAATCTCAATGAATTTTTTTCACAGCCTGGAAGCTTCAAAACGTTAAAATATTTGAGTCAACAATGCAACTCTTTTGGTATTACAATTGTAATTCTGTAAGTTGACAGTTGATAGTTTAAGGGGAGTATATAAAAGGAGTTTTAACAGAGAGCAAAATAATATTTTTTCATTTGCTTTATCATTTGAGGGTGATTAAAACAAAATAATCTGCAACATGTGATTAAACTCCTGATTGGAAATAATTCTGATGATCTTTTAGAGATAGTGTTGCATTGAGCACTACACTACATGATTGCTTGGGAGAAGTAAGATCCAAAGAAATACCCTAAGGTTTGTAAAGTGGAAAGGCAAGTGTGGTTTATTGTTTCAGAGAAATATGATACTTGGTAATACATTGCAAGCATGCATTTGGTGTTGATATGCTCCCATAACTTTTTTCATTACCGTTACCACATTAAAATGAAACAATATTCTTGTATAGATATTCAAAGCATTTGCCATGACAAAAAGTAGAACTGGTATCTATGTGACCGTTGATGTAAGTTTTGGTGCTGTGACGAGACAATCATGTGTAGTTGGCGGCAGGTACGATATTCAAATTTGATCTTCTCAGTTATTTCATTCCGAATCATAACTATTTCACCCACGCCACATTCCTTTTAAAAGATACTAGTGTGCAATTAACTCATTTCAGGAAATATTTAACTGCTGGAACTCACGTATACCCTTCTACTATATTCTTCTATTGAACACAGGCAGACGTAACCCCATTTGAAATACTAAACCTTTTATTTAATTAACTGGATTTTCGTAATACAAATTCACTCAACACCCACCGTCATTACAATTGTCAGCAGCAATAGGACGTACTTCAATTGTGTATCAGAATAGCTGCGAGAATGAATGTCTGCGCATGTGCTGGTCGCTTGCTAACTCCGACGTGCCATAATCACTCGATTTCCAATGATCTCTAGAGGACCTACGTTACGCTACGGTCAAGTCCATTTGAAAGTCAGCGCCATCTCAGCTCGGCCATGTTCCTGGTGTCTGAATCTGTTATTTCCCTCCGCCTCCATCACGAAGTACACTTTGATTAAAACAGTAAGTACGGTGACACTTGGTCAACTGTGACATTCAATCGGAAGCTTGAACGTCACCATAGAGACGACCAAGTTACGGATTGGATAATAGTGTCTCATCTGATCAAGTGTCAACGGACTTAATGTTTTAATTGAAGTGTAGTGCGCCTGGTTACGAGCCCTACAACTAAGCACTTCCTATAACTAGGTTATGCCGGGACAGATTTAGGTACCCAAGAACAAAATCGCGATGGGTCCTCCTTCGCAAAAATGATCAAATATTTAAAAAAAATACCTTTTACAATTTCTGGTGCAGTAGACTGATTAAAAACTATTTTGCAGATACAGACGCATTTTAATAGTTTTCGAAAATTTTATAATTTTTTTCAGTGGATTAGGGTCTCTATACAGGGGCCTCTAAGCAACTGCTTTTGAATGTAGGTAAATCGGGCCCTGGCACTACGCGTACCTAAGTACACTCCGATTAAAATACACTGCGACTTTAAAACTATAAGGGGGGGGGGGTCAATGGTTATCCAATCGAGACCTTCGTACAATGCATACCAAGGCAAAGACTCGTCAGATGGCGAATATTTTCAGCTCACCAGTGAATCTGACAAGACTGAACGGTCAGGAAAAATAGACTTAATCGTGTTAATTTAATTAATTTAAAAAAAAACATTAAACTTCGACTTTTAATTTTTTTTCAAAAACATATGTATATTTCAGTAATCAAATATTTTAATCTACAGCAATATATCAATTCAATATATAGCAAGAAGTTCTTCAGGTGAGATAGCTTCACGATTGTTAAGTGCCCGCGATCAGATTCAGATCAGACTCCTGCGTTCAGATTCAAAATTTCATAGAACAGTCACGGGTCAGTTCTAAATGAAAAGCGTTTCCCACCCTTTGTGGCATCAAGGTGTGAAATTCTCCAAACTTGTTCCTTTCTAGGTCAAAATCACAGACCCTTTTCTACGCTTTCTAAAGAGATATTAACTTGAGGGGAAACTCGTAAATAAAGAAGGAAAAAGTACCATACCGCATGTGCTCAGAAAACATACTCGTTCTACGAGTAACTTATCATTTCTATCCCCTGCATGAATAGAAGCGAGCGCCTCTTTTTTATCGGATGAAAACTCTCACCAAACGCTGAATCATAATTGACGCTCAGGTGTGGACAAACCAGCGAATTCCGCCTCCGCGTCTAGCGCGGAACTTTTCGCGCCGCACCCGCTGCGGATCTCCCGCGCCGGGCTGCGGGAGTTTCTACCAGAAGACAGCATCCACGGTTTTCGACCTGAGGCGTCACCGGTAGTCCAACTGACTACCCCGCATTTGCGAGGCTATTCTTTGATTTAAAGATAGTGATTTTTGCACCCAGCTGATCGTATGTCAAAAGTCGCTCTCTTTAGAGCGAAGTGTATGCAGCAGGGCTCCCTGGGCGCTTTTTCTCGTTCCATCCAATTGGGAGCTTCGTTACGACGTAAATTGTTGGTATTGGAGCTTCTATTTGCATGACAATGTCCCTCCTCTCCTTCCAGCTCGTGATCTTGAGGGGTCACTATAAATAAATCAAAGTATAGAAAGCGACGAAGGCCAATACTACCTATGTGGTATTGCTGGGTGTATCACCTCCGCTCAAACGTACGGATGACATTTCAGCAAGCCACGTAGTCTTCTACAGTGCGATTTATTTAGTCGTGCACTTGACGTAAGCTAGGTGTTGCGCCAGCTGCTTCTCTTGCGTGTTCAACCACACCCAGACTTTGGAGGCAATCTCACCAAGAATTAATTACGAATAATTTCTTAATAGTAGTTGGATTTCATTTATGAACCTTGGCTGTTCATAAATCTGGAAGGTGCTTTGTACTTAACTCTGTAACCCTTGCTACGCTAGTGGGTTCAGATTCGACCATCAACATTAACAGGCGTAAGGCCGATATCGCTTCAGAATTTACACACTACCTCATCTGCTGGAGTATGCTATGCTGCCCGTACACTGAAGTTTCTCTAAGAAGGGACCGGTTTGACAGGTCGGAAGACTAATGAAAGTCACGTTGGTCGATGGCACTCCAGTAGGTAGTATTGAAGCCATTTTCAAAAGGGAGCCATCTGCAAGCGAACGCATTGTCGAATTGCGCACACGGATATTACGTACATTACATGTAGCCAGCAGTAGCTGGCAAAGCGATTCCTTGTTAGTGTTTTCTGAATGTAGAGCAATATTCAAGTAATAAAATCACAACCGCGCTGTTGTTCAAAGGGGTTCACCCTGGCTCACGCTAGGTCATGGAATAATACTACATAATGGTATATTATTGTATTAGTCCTTATTTTAAGACAGATTGGTATCACTAACAATTTATTTTATTCATCATGTTACGATCCATACTTCTTTATTTTAGTTCATCGTCTTACGATCTTTCCATCCTCTACCTTGTCCTATCGGAGACCATTTCTTACATGCACTAGATTTCACACATGCCGGGAGTTCCAAGCTTGCCGGCTTGCGACGAGGCTTGGGTTTGTAGGTCGGCGCCGGATTTCAAGAACAGCTAGGGAAGATCACCGTTTACCCATGTCAAAACCATGCACTTCACTTACGGGACTAACGGTGCAGCTGTTAACGCGTTCGAAAACTCTATTATAACCAATGTTAATTGCGTTCTGTAGCGGCGATGGTGGATCGGTTATCGGGCTGTTACACCCAAGTTTGCGGGTTCAAACCCGATCGAAACTGTGGATTTTTAAAGGCGAAAAAAATCTTTCGTACGCCTTCCTTTGTAGGGAAAGTAAAGTCGGCTGCCCTATCTTAGTATATTTACTGCATGTAAAAGATCCTAAATGAGACCCCTTAGCTATATTCAAATCGCCTGTTTCGTCGCCCTATAAATACCTTTTTTTCTCCGCTAGTTTGTGAAAGGAGCATAACGACATTTGCGGACACTGGAGGTGGAGGTGCAACGAAATTTGCGTGGTCAGACGGAAGAGCAGGCTTCATGGCCCGAGTCTCGTCACGTAAAATAAGACATCAATTCAATTCAGTAACATTAGGAGTACGCGAGCTGCGCGGTAGAACAATACCTTCTTGGGCGAGAAGACGCCGACGGTGTTGCCGTCCTCCTTGACGGCGACACCCATCTCCGCGAAGGCGGCCTCGCGCTGCAGGCGGATGGCCTCCGTCCGCTTCAGCTTCTCCTCCCACGTCTCGTTCAGCTCTGCGCACGCCCACGCCACAACCGCTCACTCCCTCTCTCACCCCCCCCTCTCTCTCTCTCTCACACACACACACACACACAGCCACCGCACCGGAACCGATTCAACACTGGAGACCATCTTTAAATTCAGTGGTGGGAGCAGAGACCTTGTGGTACTCCATTATTAGAATTAAGAAATAATCAAACCACAACAATTTAAACGTTTATTGAAACATCTAGTACTCAAAGTCAACACTTTTCCTGTCTTCGGTGTTCAAAAACAACTAGGTGGCCGCCATTTTATGGAGTTCCATAAGATGGCGGCCTCCTGTAGCTGTTTTTCTTTAAAGTGTGATCCACGTTGCTGGAGCAACCCACAGAAGATGGGGAAAAGTGTTCCCTAAAATTGGCTTAATAACTGAATGTTTTAATAAATATTAAAACTTTTAATTGTTGTGGTTCGATTATTTCTTCATTCATACCATGAGCAGTCTCTTTCCACTGAATATCGTCGGTCTACAGGGCGTCTCAGAGTAAATGTGATACATTTCTAGGGTGTGTAGGCGAGTCGATCAATTTTTGCACATGAACATATAGTGGCACATTTCATAGAACGATATTACACAAGGGACATTTGCTGCTGATTTGTAGGCAACTCATCCTACACTGGGGTTAAGCGGGTCATGTTCCGGCGCAACAATGACATTTCGTGTATCCGCCAAGCATCAAGCATGATGAGTTGCCTATCTATCAGGGGCAAATGTCACTTCCGTAATTTCAGTGTACGTAAGGTACCACCTTGTGATCTTAGGCAAAGAGGGATCATCTTCATACTCCACTACACGTTCTAGATATTTGTAACATTTATTCTGAGACAACAGCAGCAACACAAAGGAAACTCTGGAAGTCCAGAAACTGTCTCGAGATAAATCAATGAATCAATTGATTGTTCTGTGAAATTTGTCAAAACAATCATTCCGCACTCTTAATACCAAAATAAATATTTACTATTACGTCATATGAACTGTTTGCATTGACAAAAGAGATACATATTTGATTTGAAGCCGACGAAATAAGACGTTTGAATGTAAATAATGGTAACTGACATTACACGTTTCGCAGGGAAATTCGTTATGAAACTGCGGTTTTTACTTGCAACGAGGGACACAAAGCATGAAAGCCTCTCGAAAACACGGAGAAAATGGACGGAGCTATTCCATCGTCTTCATAAATACAAATACTTTAAATTTCGCCTAAAATGTGAAATAATACTCACACCCGAACGTGAAATCTCTCTTGCGGCGAGCGAATTGAGAGCTTCAGACGACGCGCGTGGACAACACACACACACAAGAGAGCGCGGCCAACTTTACACTCGCGAGCCACCGGAAATCGACTGGTTGGATTAGTGGCGCTGCTAGCGCCTCTCGGATCGCAGAAACGGAGAAATCCCCTATTTGTGGCTCCAGCAGCGATTGCGTCGAAGGCAGCAATCTGTCGCACAAAGGGGGAGATCCCCGAGTTACCTAGCCTGCATTCGGAACGCCGCCTCGAAAATCGATCACCAGGGAATTGTTTTCACATAACTAAATTAAGCTGTTTTTTTCGTTTAAAAAGAAAAACTTGTACCAAATTGTGCTTCTTTGGAATAGATTTTATGTGAAAATATGGGAAACATGAAATTTACTAAGTTAAAGTCAAAAGGCATTTAAAGCACATGATAGGTGTCTATATCAATTCTCAGATATTTGCTGGGCGTTAAAAATTTGAGGGGAAAAAAAAAAAAAGCACTTGCCCTATTCATCAATTTTTACCGATAAGGCGAGCGAAAACTTCGTATGCGTTCGCAGACAATCGCAAGCTCCCTCACACACTCACTCGCACGCTCGCTGGATAAACCAAACAAAGAAACGACGATTCCAGTATAGTGATATAAATTGACTGGAATCATCGTTTCTTTATTTTAGTGTTGAGATATTTATCATTCGATAAGGGGTGGAAAGTCGCTTAATTATTAAGACAATAATCAACAATGACAAGGAACAAAAGTCTTTAGCTGCAAGTGGCTTCACACATTCAGCGTTCACCGAGTAGCAAGATATGCTCACCCAATTCCAAGTAGCTGATGTGCTCGGGGAATGTTCCCCTTTTTTGATGTGTCTCAAAGACAGACACCGCGGGAAATAGAGATGAAATATTGATGTTTACAAAACATCGATGTGTTATATAAATACCTATGTATTGAACATCACTTTCTTCCCGTAAGATTTCTACGGCACTTTCAGAAATCTGACCTCCTAAAGGCATTGAACACTCAGGCATTTAGGCTAAAGTTTTCGAATTGGTTTAATTATTATTTAAATTTGTTTTGCCAGTTGAATACTAATTAATAATCAATAAACGCGGTCATCGTCGAATTTTGTTCCTTTTTGATCATCCATGTTTAAAAATATCGATGGTTTCAGGTTCTGTATTATTCACATCGATGCTTTAATTTTGAACATCGCTGTTACGTAGTGAATGTCGTGTCTCTGGAGGGAAGTGCGAGCACCGAACGTTCGTCGCTCGACAAACAGCCAGCAACGCATCCACGCTACTCGGGTGTTCGGCGAGCGGTGGCTCTTTTCTCGCTAACACAGACTGTGCAACGCTGCCTTCAAGAGGGTTTAGATTTACATTTATTTAGTCCCAAAAATCAGTAAAAACTGTTATGTGACATATTGGAGAGAAGATCTGAAGAAGGGTTGCCAGATTGGGGAAGTTTGTCCCCCAAAATGGGGATTTTTTTTTCGTAATAGGAAAAGAATGGATAACATCTTAAATGGACGGGCAAATGTTTGGGGATTTCTCAGGGAAATTATTCTCACCCGGAGTCGAGTTACAAACATTATTCTCTCAATTATTATCCATAAAAAAAGAAAAGATGGACTTCTCTCTCATTTTTATATATCAAAAAGGAAAAAATAAACGACAGGCATAGAGAAAGACGAAGATCAAAGAGCTTCGAGCAGATTAAAGGTAGATGAATGGTTGATTTGGATGGCCAATGGAATCATGTCAGGGACAGCGTATGTCGGTGATTCCATAATTTGGTGAATATATTTCGTTTCAAAGTTGGGGAATTTTGTATCATTGGAGAAGTCATTGGAAGAAATTCCTCAACAGTAATGAGGAAAGAGCTCGCAACACATCTGGCAACCCTCAGCAACCGTTGCGCGAGTGATGGGGGTGGCTTTTGTTCGTCGTATCCGACTTCAGCCAATGAGCTTCAGACAATATTACCAGAAATTTTAAATGCAGCCAGTTATCACCTCGTTACAAGACATTGCAGCAGATTTATAAAGCATTTTTTAAAAATATTGCATCTTGTACACTTTCATCGTGTTATTCTTGTTTTGTTACCGCTGAAAATTGTCACTTTCTACCACCTTCAAAATACACCTTCTGAACACTACTCCCTCTGCATGAAACACAGCGCCCTGTCTGGCGTTTCATACAAGAAAAAAAAAAAAAAAAAAAAAAAAATAATGCCGCGCGCTTAGAGGCACTCTACCGCGGGTGGCGGCGGCGCGGGCGGGGTACTCACCAGCGATGAGCTTCTCGCTGGCCTGCAGCTGGTCGACGGCCTCCTCGGCTGTGGTGGAGGCGGGAGCGGCGCGCGCGCAGTCGCCGCTCTCGCGCTTCACCACCTTCATGCCCTCGTCCCCTGCGCGCGCAGCAACACTCCGCTCAGCGCGACCGCCCGCCCACCCGCACGCACGCGCCCCGCCACTCGGCCGGGCGTGCGAGTAGACGGACATCGGTGCCAAGGTGTGCAAGTGCTCGATCGTGTAGGGGTGTGTCATCGTGTAACGAGGCGTCATCGTGTAACGAGGCGTCATCGTGTAACGAGGGCGTCTAGTGTACAGGCGTCATCTGTAACGAGGCGTCATCGTGTAACGAAGGCGTCATCGTGTTAACGAGGCGTCATCATGTACGAGGCGATCATCGTGTAACTGAGGCGTCATTCGTGTAACGAGGTTGGTCGTCATCGTGTAACGAGGTGGTGTCATTCGTTGTAACGAGTGTGTCATCGATGTAACGCAGGGTCATCATCGGTTAACGAGGAAGTCATCATTCGTGTTAACGAGTGTCATCATCGTGTAACGAGGTGTCATCATCGATTGTAACGAGGTGTGCGTGTAAAGGAGTTCATCGTTAAGGACGGTTGTCCATCGTGTAAGGAGGTGTCATCGTTGTAAGGAGGTGTGATCGCGGGGAAAGGGTGATCGCGGGGGGGGGGGGGGGTAAGATTGTGGGTATGTGTGATCGTGGGTGTGTATTGGCGCGGTGTGTGTGAGTGCAATGGAACGTATTTCTTCGATTATGTGTGTGTGTGTGTGTGTGTGTGTGTGTAAGAGTACGATTGTGTGTGGTTGCAATCGTGTGTATGTGTGTGTAAGAGTACGATTGTGTGTGGTTGCAATCGTGTGTATGTGCGCGCTTATGTACGATCATATATGCGCGTACTTGTATGTTTGAATGAACGTATGGCCTTGAATGTATTTGAGCCATTGTAGCTGCATGTGTGCTCGTATTAATGTACGCGGGCGTATGGGTACAAAAGTGTCTATAAATGTGTTTGAGTATGGCGTATAAGTCCGGATTGCATGTGTATATGTAAGTGGGTGACGTGGGTGGGTGTCCGTGTATATAGGTTTGTGTTTGCACGTGCGAGTGTTTTTGTATGTGTTTGCGTCGGTATTAATGTAGGTATACAAATAGATGCTATGTATCAGTACTCCAGGACAAATCTATCCAGGATTGGGAGTTCTGGAGAAGACAATGGATTTAGACCTTGAGTGAATTTGTGAATTATTCTCCTAAATTAATTACTTATATATTTTGGATTGACGGTTTTTGACTATAATGTAGAAAGCAATGTTACTATAAGACACTCTGTAAATAGCAAGAAATTGAAAAATCGTACTTGGGCGAAATATGTATACAGAGTATTCTTTCTAATATTTCTTCATAACTGTTTAGATGAAGCTACATGCGTTCACTCATCATAAAATGATAGCATTAAAATGATGATTTAATAATACAGTTGTAAAAAGCGACTGTTTTAAGGAACAGTGCATGAGAAGCTGTTTGTCAGATCATTAAACAAATCTTATAGCGTAATGTGTTCACTTGAAAAGTACTATTTCAAACACAAACGCAATAGTGAAAATTAAGTGATTTATACAATCCACATGCTCACGGAGTCAAATATCAACGAGCTCACGTTTTCATTTCAATGAGACGTCGAATATCCACAGAATAATGCCACGAAAGCAACTCCCCTCCACTCTTGGTTCTGAAAAGGCTCAAAGGGACGGGGTAGACCAGGATATTTTTCTTTTGCCTTATTTCCATGTCCAGAAAAGTAGAATACAATAGCTACAAGAAATTGGAGACATAGGTACATTCATGCAAAGCATAACATTACAGTGCGCGAATGAAAAAGATTGTCATTCAATTAAGTTACCGAAAATAGACTTTCTATAGGACATATGGTTATGTGTACGAAGGGGAAGTTTTTCGAAATACAAGGCACTATAATACGCAATTATGATGAATTTTGTCTCTCAATTTTGTCTCTTTGCAACACAAACCCTCTTTGTCATTAAAGGTAGTTTTTTTATCATATTTTCAAAATAGAGGGCTATTATTTCATTGTTTTTGTTATTTGCATTTATTTTCTTCTGCCTCACTCGTTATCTAATTACATGTTATTAAAATACTAATTTTCTTGCAGCATATTTTCATATTTCTTGATTTGGTGAAAAGTGATAGTTTTATTTATAAAAAAATATAGAATATGCAAAATAAACATACTGATAAATATTATTTTTACATAAAATTAATGAAATATTTTTACTCTTATTTGAAAAACAATGTGGAAAGTGTGTAAAACTGTACAATCCTCCTATTCCTATCCACATTTCTTCAATGATTACTATGATTCTCAAATTACTAATTGTAATTTGTTTGTTGCATGGAAGATTTGAAATGCAGCAGGACTGGATTCATGCAAATAATTATTGTGCATTTCTGAACATGTAGATAAGGACTTTTCTGTTTTGTTTGTTATAAATGTATATGTTTGTTTCGAGTATGTTTTCATGTGTAAACAATATATGTATAAAAAACTTTTTGGAAAAATGTTTAAAAGTTTATTATGTTATAAGAACATGCATCTGTTAATATATTCTACATTCACATTGAATTTTCCCTTTCAAATTTTTGAATAAAAAACAACAATACTTCAAAATTATCACTCAAAGAAATTCCATTGAATGTTGGAGAAAACTATTCGTTTGGGAATATTCAATATGTAATTTTCGTGTATACTAATATTCTTAATTTTACTTTCAAAATTTTCACTGGTTCTTAGGACAACCACATTACGTGACACCATCCTATGTGTGACCATTACAAATCATTACTTTTTAGACAGGAAAAGAGAAATCCTACTCAAGATGGACTTTTTGATGCAGAACAAATAGAGATGCAACTACACAAAACTTAGGAAAACAGCATAAAATGAAAATAAGCAAAGTAAATAAGGGATGTGTTATGAAATGCACAAATTCTCATACATAAATATTTACACACAACTTGCTCACGTGACGTGTTTTAGTGAAGATTTTTGTTGAATTCATGAGATCCCAGAATTTAACAATGACAGAAATTCATACATTCGGACACAACTTCCATATTCTCTTCTTAGAAAAGAAAAATGGACCGCATTTTACAACACAACATCACTTTAAGCACTATTTTGTACTTTCCATCACAATTTGACAAGGCTTACAATATTCCAAGCTATTGCATTCTAGAAGCTCGGAAAGAGTTTTAACCATTTTGTGCCTGTACCCCACTTCATATTGTGTTCTTGTTTGGGATTAAAATTTAAATATACAACCCACAAAAACTGAATTAAACATATAATCAAGTAATTAGTAAATATTTTGTTTTAAAATACACTTCAAAAATACTCTGAAGGATTCTTTTACCTTTTTCTCAATATTCTTAGCTTTACATAAACAGACTATTATTATACCTCTATTTACAGAAATAATTTAGAAACTGACCCTTGCATTCCACAACTTCTCCTTGCCAAGAGAATAGTTATAGGATCCTTCAATGGCTGAGGCACTGGGTAAGAAAGATTTTTGATGTCATAACACTGAGACTGTTGCAACAGTGACATTGTAAGTCATTGAAAAATGCACGCTGTGAAATTGTAAGCCATTGCAAAATAATAAAATATAATGACACATTTAAGGAATTGATAAAAATGGAAATTTTTTTAATATGTTTTCAATTAAGGAAAAGCCAATTTAAAAATGCATTATTGCAACGAACTGCATTATAATATAATTTCACTGAAATAAGCAACCCAACATACACATGTTCACACGTACACATACACACGCACAATGTCCTAATACTATGCATGATGTCAAATGAGTTAAGAAGTACATATTAATGAATGAAAATATCACCAACTCTTTGTGATAATAAATCACTAGAGATATTACCAACTCTTTAAACAAATATTCTTCAGTAGGGTGTGAAAAAGCAAGGTAAAATACATCTACTAAGTACATAAAAAGGTTTTGGTATAAGGTGCCCTTTTTTCATATACACAAAAGGAATATCATTTTCAAATAATGAAGCCAGAAAGCCAATAATCTAGGGACAAAAACAATCACTGACAAATCAAGAATGAACAAAAAATTAAACTAAACATGATTCACTTTAAAAAAATGAAAGCATGATAATAAAAAAGCTCCTTCACTTCAATATCTCTCAATTTTTATGAAGCAAAGCAAGGAGACCCACAGCTTGCAAACAAGGACCTCAAAATAAATTGAGAAATATGATGACAACTTTTTTACTAAGATGCCTGTGATGATAGCAGCGACAGAAGCTGGCTGGAAAGCTAATACATGGCCCAATGTTCTGGGGAGAGCTACTTACTATGGCTGTTGATGGCGTTCTTATTACTGACAGTGTTTTGACTCTCTTTCTTTTCGTAAATGACCTTGCCATCTGGGCCTGGGCAGGTGGGGCACAAGAAACAGCGCAGTTACGCAACAGGTTGCACACACATTCACCCTGCGGCGAATGGTCAGTAGTTGATAAGGGAAGCTGAAGGTTTCATGACTTTTTCTCAGATGTTCAAAAACAAATTTTCTTTCCTTGTTTTAATAAATTATTTCATTCTTTCTTCTAAAATAATTACCATTATACTAATGGCAGACGTTCAATTTTTTTGAATGACATTTGTTTTTCATATCAATACTTTTAGCATTTATAACTGGTTTAAGAGAATTTTTTTAATATTACCATGATCCATTAAAAACAACACAGAAAGTCAAAAAATTACAGCACTGATTTTGACAAGAGAATACAAAACAATTTCTGTCAAGGACAGCTTCTTTACATAATGAAGTAGATTACTCCACACTTCCATAGGACTCAAATGCCACACGTCTTCAGCTGCCCTTTTCACCAGGTTTGGCACTAGAGGCACCGTACACTAGTGGAAAATAAAATTAAAAACAAACAATCTGAAGGGGCAACAGAATGATATTCTTCAAACTAAAATGAGAAAAAGTATCATTAAAGATACTGCAGGAACTACTCAACTTTGGTTTTAGCCCTCTTGAGCTAATGGACATAAAATTGGAAAATAAATAACAAAAGAATAGGAAATGTTTGATATTAAAATGATTTTCATAAGAGGAGCAGAATAATGGATCAGATAAAGGAAGGGAAATAGAAAAGATAAATATAAAGAAACTGGATTTCCACAGTGTTCTGGTGCTGATGTCAAAACGCCATTCTGACAGAGACATCAATTCTGCGTTCCTGGTGAGTGTTTAAATTAATTCCAACTAGTTAATGAACTATATAATGAAGTTATCAGCAAATATTAAAAATGTTCCAAACTTAATGTTAGGAGTTAAACATATGGTTGTGTTCAGAAAAATTACATGAACTTAGAAGCAGTAATCAAAATAAATTTGTTATTTACTTTTTTACATTTATTTTTCATCACACAGGTGTGAGTAAAGTAGTTTATTTCTTGTGCCAATAATACAAATTAAATTTATTATAATTTTGTATAGCAGAAACATCCTGCCCATTGAATCTGAACACAACCCGTAAGATGGCAAGAGGAATAGACGCCATAATGCAGTAACTTATCAAATAACAGGGCTTGCTACTCTCATACCAACAAAACAATTTCGAATTTTCCCTTAATTTTTGAAGAGTCTATGCCTTCCATTAGCTTTCGTACAGCTGTACCTTTACATACATGTACAAAATGAAACTTGTTTCCAATGTCTTGCAAGTGATTTGATTTTTTAAATTAAAGTACAAGTCAATATCCAATGTACTTTTATTGATAATTTTTACTTATCAATAGGATGTAGCATCATTCTACTAACTTTTGTACAAGACAATAAAAATTTCAAGGATGGGCTTGATTCAAAATAATTTAGGTACCTAGAAAATCTAATAGAAACCATAAATGCAAGAACTAAAAAGCCAATTGCTGGGGATATGCAAATGTTCAAGTATCAACAAGTGTTGGCAGAGATCTAGCAATAACTAAACCTTGATGTCCCAAGAAAGGACTATTGATATTCTATATCAGAGCTCTAGAAAACATTCAAAAGTAGTAAGGACATGTGCTTGAATATGTAAACACACTCTTCATGCTTACAGCAATTATACAGACATGAAACAGTGATTTTTTGAGACCAGTTTTAATTTCCTTAATTTTTCTGACAAAATTTTGTATAATAAATGTATTTTCATAATGTAATGGAAATTATGTAATGGAACTCATTTGTACCATATGCGGTATTACACATAAACTAAATACAGTGATGAATTTTTTTAAGCACTTAAAAATTATAAATATTATGATGCTTTTACAGAGTTTTGAAAATGAAAATAATGTATCAGTCAATGATTTTAAAAGGCTCTTTTTTTGCCATGAATATGGCAAGGTCAAAATTAATCATACTAATGAAAAAAAAAGCAGATGCTTTTGGTTTATATTAAACACACAATTTTGATATGGAAGAGTTCCAACTATTTTATACAATTTAATAATAAAATATGATACTTTCTCATTTTGTTGAAAAATTCCTTTTGAGTTTTATCATATTCTTTATCACCTTAAAAAATATTAATTGAGAAACCAGCATCAAAATTACTTACAACTGATCTCAGTGATCACTGTAATAGCATTCTAGAATATGTAGTGCGTGCATGTAAAAAATGAATACTCTTTGTGGACCCGAAAATGTAATATGCACATATTTACATACTGTAAGAACCCTCATCTATTTCAAAGAAATAAAAACAGTGAGTAAAAAAACTCTAACATGTTCTTAACCAAAGAAAAGGAGTATCAAAATTTATACGTATACAAGCAGTTTTCTTTACAATGAGTGGTAATATGAAGTCAAGGTCTATGTTGAAGAAATCTACAAATCTGTAAAATCCAACTATGCACACAAGATTCTCTTTCAGTGTTTAAAAGTTTCACTTTTCTATTTTTTAAAATTTTTTTTATTAATTCAGAAACAGGATTTTATAGACACTTTACAAAATGTAAAGTATGTATAGACACAATGAAATGTGATCAAGTAGAACAAGACTAAATGTACAAAAGATACCATCATATTTACAAAATTGAACATGGTAGAAGTACTGATTAATAATTAAAATTACAGGTTATCAGGAAGGCAACAGGTTCAGCAACATTCATACAATATGAATTCTATATACACATTTACATATAAATGTTACCATTTGTTGTTCTTTCAGTATACTCATGTCAAGACCTTTCCACAAAGAGTATTCTTCTCAGAAAGCATTATTTAATGTAATAGAATGTCACCCAATGCACCACGTTGAAAGAAGAAAAACGTATGATGCGCGATGCCCTACCTTCCTCTACTTCGATGCCTTCCGCTTTGAGCAGCTCTCGCAACTTCACAATCTCTTCCTTGAGCTCTCTGATCAGTTTGGCGTTGGCATCTTCATTCACTACAGCCTTGCAGACAATCTGTTTGGCTCGGTCTGCATACCTGTGGAACAAACCCAACCACTCCTCATTCCCATTGGCATCGACATCATCACCACTGCACTACCTCAATTTTTCTAAAGATCCAGATAGTCCTAGTCTGGATAGTCAGGTTATTCAGAGTCATGAAATTTTCTTTACAAGTCATAGTTCTATTAATTTCATTCATTGAATTCTAAATTATATGTTTTTAGAGCAATCATAAAAAGAAGTTGGACTCTTCTAGACAATAATATTATTTCCTAAAAGCAGTTCTGAACAATCATTTTTGGCAAATTCATCTCCCACATTACATAATTCATTTTCAAAGGTTTATAGTTTGCATCTAAGAATTTTTATTACTGTTAAAAACCATGTGAGATAGTAAAAAGTGCATGCTTCAACGTAAGGTAAATTACCTAAGTGTAGAGAGGGTCTCATCATAATTGATGTCTGCAGGACTGATTGCGGCAACCATAGCAGTCTTTGAATTTCCTCCCAAGTTTTCACGCAGTAACCATGTAAGCACAGAATCTCGATAGGGAATAAAATCTGCCTTCTTCTTCTTTTTGGTAGCCTAGGGAGGAAAACGTAATTTGCTAAATATTGAAAAGTGATAATGATCTAAATCTGATTGAAAGATACACTTTGTAAACTACAAGAATTCAGAAACACAAAACTTTTCATAGGTATGTTCATAACTAGACAATTCTAATTATGTTCTATTTCATAGGATTAGAGTAAGAAGTTAGATGTACACTACAGAGCCAAAGGAATTCCTTCTCAGCTTCAAGCAAAGCAAGATTGGGCATGTTTAAAGAACCAAATTTACTTACCGACTGCAATAATCCACAGGAAGATGGAAAGAGAAAGTGTACATTTGGGTAAGTGAAACTAGCAAATAAATAGCAAGGTAACAAGCTTCTATTATCACAAGTAAAGGCATTGTCTAATAGAACAATTCAAAATACAATGGACATTATATATATACGCACATAAGAACAGAAGCAAAACTGAAAAGTACAAAGAGGGCTGATTCAACTCTAGAAATTTACTGCATTTTAAATACTGTAAATATAACTGAGAGTAAAAAATATCCCTATACAATATTCTTGAATAATTTTTACAGGATATATAAATCAAGTACAAGAAGGAATATTCGAAGTTTTATAAGAAACTATAATACTCTTTGTACAACCCAGAAAGTAAAATTAACTTTTGAGAAGCTATGTTATTAGTAGTGGGTTGCATCGTATTTATTTTGTTTTCTAAAGTAATAAAAATGAAAATTCCAAGAATGGGTTCTTATGTTGGAGATAATAAAGAGATTTCACTGAGAGTACTCATAGGGTTTCACTGACAAAAAACTTCGGAAGATTAGGGTTTTCCAATTACAAAATTTTTTAGTGTTCAAAAATCATGTACCATTTACACATAAAGCTAACCTCAATGGCACATTGGTCTCCTAAAGTTGGTGTATTTGATCCTAACCAACACTGGAGGATTTTGAGGTCACAAATATGCTTTGGAACTTTGCAGTACAAATAATTTTTCTGAGTTCTCTGGGATAGCACTGGGAGAATCAGGCTATTCAACTGTTACACATTGTCATATAGTCAATAATTGTTTTAATATGACTGACAAGTGATCCTGAGATCTCCGGCCAACACTTGGGGTGGGCTACAGTAACATAGAAGAAAATTACACAGAAGAATCTTATGGATGTCAGTGAAACTCCAAAAGTGAAAAGAAATTGAGAATCTCTAAAGTGATACGTACAATCTCTGCGAGGGCGGAGATGACTTTGCCCAAAGTGGTAAGCGATTTGTTGATGTTTGCTCCTTCTTTGAGGCGAGTGCCCTTGGCTCCTGTCGAGTCAGCTCGCTCGGAACCAGCCAAGTCAACAAGAGAGATCTTGCTGACTTTCTCCGTTGTAAGTTCTGTGGTGGCATCAGTACGTTGTTGAGTGAAAAAGATTGTGAAGACTGCGTGGGAACGACTTGATGTTTCATTCATATTGGTGGCGGCCACAGTTCTGTAAAATCAGACCAAAAGGTTTCAGCTTAGAAACTTAAAAATCTCCTTTTATAAAATTCAATAGTAAATGAGAATATGTACTTGCATCATTATATATCTATACATTAATCTCAATATCGTTTGGTAGATTGTCTTTTGACAACAAGAAAATTAATTCTTCTGAAAAAAATTTAAAAGTAAAGTTTGATGAAGTCAGAAAATCATGTTTTACACATGCAATTTGTGATAAACTCATCAAAATAATAATTAATTCATAATAAACGTTAGCATATAATATTATATCTAAGAATGGCAATTTATTAACGCTCTTGAAATATAAGAAGCACTTGGATCTCAGTGCTTTAATTTGGAAGTTTAATGTCAATGGGATAATAAGGTGATGATAACACATTTCAATATATCCCTTCAAATCAGCATTAATACCACTTTATTTTCAAATTTTCTTTTCATTACATATGAAAGAAAAATCACAAAAACATCATTTTCTAAGTAGTTGAAAATTTGTAAAATAAATTATCTAATTGAGGTTCACTTTAATTGAAGGACTCGGGGTAATTAGACAAAGCACACCTGTCAGCAAGCATCTTTCTATTCCTAAAAGTTTATATTTCGATTTGGTGAAAGTCTGGTGTATCTTGTTTCTATAAAGAACCAAAGTTTTATTCATATTTTTGAAGTGCTAGGGCAGAAGACATGGAGAGACACTCTTTGACCAAAATGGCAAATTAATATTTACTTACAATGGGCAGCCATTCTGTGGCTGGAGTAAGGTACCTTGTTAGAGTCCCAAGCCTTTTATTTGAAATATATTTTGATTATTTTCCTCCTTTTTCAAATTTACACGCTGAAGAAAAATGGCAAGACTATCAATCATGGGTGTCACTAACACCAAATTATTGAAGGAGGAGGGAGGGGAACAATTCAGTAGATAAGGTATACATTTCCAGGTATTTGGATTACTGTAAAAAATACCCCATATACAAACTATGGTGCTAAAACAGCATTTACTTTTAGGTAAAATTTGCTGAGAAGTACTCAAATTTTCGAAAAATTATGTATGCCCTTATTTCAAAACCAATCTTTAGGGAACACATTTCACTAGGGGAAAATAATTTCTCTATCTTTAATATTTTAGTTGTAGTAAGACTTGTAAGACCTGCACCATTCTCTTAAATGTCCTCACACTATCCAACAGGAATATTTAATCAAAACGGTGGAGCCATTTTTTTGAAAATTTGGAAAATGTTCCCGAGGCTTTATGAAAAGTACCCTCCAAAATTAAAATATCGGTTTCAAATTCAAGAGGCCGCGACATCAGCCAGATGGATAGGGGAATATCAATTTTGGGAAAAAAAAAATCGGCTGAACGGTTTAGCCGCTAGCGTTGTCGACAGAGAGACGGACGTTTTACCATCTTTCGATTTTTGGGTATCAAGAACCCACAAAACATGGATTCTGACTACACCACGTAATAGTTTTTTTTTTTTTTAAATTTAGCAAGTGGACTTACTTTTTCGTTATCAGGGCCCTGAATTAAGAGTTTTTCTGCCGAAAATTCGCCGTTTTTCCGCGGAGCATTACGGAACTTTCTCTTTACTCCGTAGCGAAAGTAAAAATATTGTGCGGAAGGGGGAGATGGAGGGGAAGGGTCGCGTCCTCACAGTGATGACGCCGATGTCAATCGTCGATGTCGATGTCGATCGTCGATGTCAATCGTCGATGTCGATCGTCGATCGAGTACGATGTTGCTCTGCTGCGACGTACCTTGCTTTGTTGCCTTCGTCGATGAGGTCGTGGATGTCCTGGTAGGAAGTGACGGCCAATTTGGAGAGGTCCTCCACGTAGGGGCCCAACAGCGGGTGCTCTCGCACTCTGAGGTTGCCCTTGTTCTTGGGGTTGAGCAAATCTCGCACTCGTTCACAGTAGATCTCCATGTAGCTCACCTGTACACACACAGAATACAGAACTATTGATGTGGAACACGTCTGCTGTTTCATTTTAGAATTGCGAAAATACGTTACTGAAAAAAAGGTCAGCACAAATGCGGAAAATTGCACAGTATTGTGTAGAGTTTCAATGTTCACTCGCGTAATACCATGGTGAAGCCAAGAAACTCTCAGAGATCATTCGGACATGGTCCAGAGCGACAAGAAGTTTTAAAAGTGGTAAAAGATAATTTTTGAGTACGTTCTAATCGTAATATTAAAGTGCACATTTCCGGATTGTGGGTGTTTAAACGTGAGTTACTTTGGCAATTTATTTTTCTTATACGCGTCCTAATATCTCTTACTGTTTGGCTTATGGAATTGAAACGCACTTTTTCTGTTCAATTCGCATGACGATGTCATTTTCGACGTATATGATGGCGTTACTGGTCCACCGCTGACCCGACAGAAATTCCCCAGCGTAACATGTACTCTTAATATCCACGGTACGTTGAAATTTATCTCATAACTTATCCCACTAAACCAGTGCCGTGTTAACACACGGGTCCGAAGGGCCCGAGCCAGGGCCCAGGGCCCCCGATAGTTATTAAAAATATTTTATACATTAAAAAAATAATAATAAAAACGAATAAAAAAGTGATGTATGAATATACGCAAAAAATAGGCAAAACGAAGTAATGACTTCTTGACTGTCCGGGTGACGCCGCGACGTTGGCTGAGACCCGGACAGCCAAGAAGTCATGAACTCGAAGTAATGTGTCGCGCATCATTGGATAATGTTTATAATAAGAAATGTTGCAGGTTGATGCGTTTCAATTTTATATTGCACAATTCAATAAAAAATAATTTGTAGTATTTTTCTGTAATTATAAATCTGTTATTATTACTTATAAATGTATGTAATTTATTTGTTTGAATAATGTTAAATTGCAACATTGAGAAATTCTTCCTAAATATTAAAAAAAATACAAAATATCATGTGAATGATAGGATTTTCTTTATATTTCAACATCGAAATTGGGGGAGGGGCGTAAAAATTAAGGGTAGGCCCAAGGGCCCCCAATGCTGTTAAAACGGCCCTGCACGAACCGATCGAATTGCTCGTTTTTTTGGGAGCGTAATCCCACATTTACGAAGTCGAAGCTTCATCGATGGAAGAAACACAAATACACGTCATCTTTATTACAAATATATCTATGTAATCGATACGCCGATAAAGTCTGGATTGGTTGAAGTTCAAGTGATTCCGTAATTTTTTCATTTTGCAACTGGCACATTAGCGAAATAGTTTTAATAAAAACCTTCAACAAACCCGCGACTAGGGGATTGGTCACCTAATTCCAAAAATGTCGCAGTGTTACCGTTAAAAATCTATTTTTCTTTGGGTATCTTAAGAAAGCAATGAAACAGAAATCTTTAAATTATATATACCACTGTGGCGAACTACTCGTGCACTTTCTTGATAATAATTCAAACAAGAATTATCAGAAGATTTTGACTGAGTTTCGGGTTAAAATCACTTTAATTTTATAAACATGAATAATAAAACCATAAGAAGCACCAAAAAGTGTTAAAAATCACGAGAAAAAGTTCGAGAAAGCTGTGTGCACGGGGTATAGTAAATCAACTGGATTCACGTTAGGCTGAGGCTACAGTTACCAATGGAATAACGCTAGTGAACATTGTGCTGAGGCGCGTTCTTTCGTCAAGTATCAAGAAAAAAGGACATGAAAAGCAGTGAGGCCCAGAAGTAAAGGCCGCTATGGTAACAGGACTCAGGCCCTGACTTCACTGGGACCCCAATTTTTAAAAAATACAAAACAAATTAAAAATATATATTTACTTCTAATTCAAATAAACCAATATACATTATTTTTGCTACATGGAGAAACGAATTCTGTTTATGTATTCGGGAGGAGGGGGGGGGTTGTTTGAAATAAGGGAATCCCGTGGATTGTTTGTCTTTTGTTTTCTCTGGGCGTCCCTGGTGTTCAGTAGTTGAAAGAAACGGTTTTGTACCCACCTCCACTGTGTACTTGAGGTCCTTTCCAGCTGTGCTGTGTATCCGCCGAAAGAGGTCTTTGCAGATTTGGGGAATGATGCCCTCCTGCCCTTCTTCCTCTTGCCTGCCCATCATGGTGTACGACTTGCCTGCTCCTGTCTGCCCGTAGGCGAAGATGCAAACGTTGTAACCTGCGCGCACACAAAAAACATTATTAGGCGCCATATTATAAAGATTTCCTTTTTCATAAATTAAATGCCATCGAAACAGTTTATTGTACAGTAGTTACAAAATAATGCAATTTTTGCCCTTTTTGGGTAATATTTCTAGTTCATTGCACATTTTCTCTGTGACTTATTTCTGGGCCTTACTAAGTACATTTCGATTATGGGAAAAATAACTAAAAACAAAGTACAAGGTGCACATGTGCCATATAACTAGAGCGATTTGTAGGATATTGAATTGGAGAAGAGAAAGATGTCAATTGAGAGTGAGCAAATTTTTGCTTTTCGTTTCAAAAATTGAAAGTAATTCAAATAACTTCCTCAAGAATTAGAATCCAAAAGAAAAAAAAGCGTATTCCTTTTTATGACCTCTTTGTTAATATTCGGTTAATATCCCTTATTCCCAATATTTTTATTTTTAGGTAATATTTAGACAATTTTTTAAATTATGGCATCTAATAATCATCACGTCCAAGTCCTGGGTCCCAAGACAACAAAAATTGGCTGTTGCGAAACACGTGAATTCTGACGCTTCTGTCTTTTTCGTCGCATAGAGTCAGATGCGTCGTATGGAGTGGCGCTCTGAATGTAACAATATACTTTTGTAACATCAGCTGCGAGAAATTACTGATTAACATAAAACATTTGCACTATTCTGCTAAAATAGAAACGGTTTCATTGGTTTTGATTTTTTCAGTCTGCCTGGATATCTAACAAAACCACCGATTCCTCTCACACGTGCCAGAGGATGCTTACTTTTTTGCCAATTTATGCGTATTTCCGAAATTAGAAATGTAGATGATGGTCATTTCGGAATAATGTTCAACGAAAAAAAAGGCTGAAATAATTTTGAATATCCGAATAATGCTTATAAAAGATTCCAATGTTTTCCATGGATTAATACAATCTAAATATAAGATTGACACATAGCACTTGAGAAATGAATTTAAGGTAGTACGTTACATTAGTATTTTGAATCTGGACTAAACTACATTCTAAAAATGTTTAAAGACCACTGAAGTAGATTTAAAAACAAATGTAGGAATAAAAATTCATATCTTACCATCAAAAGCATGTTGTAACATTTCTTCACCAATATCTTTATATACCATAGATTGTGTTGAAAAATTTGAATCGTTTGCCTGAAAAAAATGATAAGTTACATAAAGAACAAATAAAATACTCATCGAAACATTTCAATTAAATAACTGAATAACCTAAGATATGAATGTGTTAAGAGGTATGTAATAAACATTCATCTTCTTACACTATTTATTTTTGAGTAAATGTTAAATAATTAAATGAAATTGAACAACAATTAACAACCAAGAACAAAAATTTAACTCATTAAAAGTGATAAAATACTAATTAATTTGCAATAATCACCAACAATACAAATGTAGACTGTAAACTAAACTTTGTAAAACCTCAAAATGTTTATAATAATAAAATCACCAACACACACTAGTACACATTACGATAATGTTTTGATATTATAAAATTTAAATTGAATTGAGTTATTTTGAAGTTCATAGATAAGGTCTTGTGAAAAAGTACATTATAACCATTACGTATTATAGACTTAAGAAAATATTATGTAACAAGATGTTTATACTAAGTTCGGGTTATCAAGATTTTTCTATATTAATACTTCATATTACGCCAAACATGGGCGGGATCAATCGAAACTATCTGCACAGGCGTGTGCACTGGGGGAAGAAGTTAGGGTGGCCATGCCCCCTTGACATTTCAAATGGGGCCCCGAAGCCTTCCGAAATCAAAAATATTTTTTTATTATGTCTAATCCCTAATGTTCCCCTTTTAACTTTATTATCTATAGAATTATCATTTAATTCTCCCTTTTTTATTCATTTACTACCGGACTCGGCAATGCTCCGCTGTTGCAGTCCATTAAATAAATACAATTCAAGTTCAACATCGTTTTAATACAATGAAGATTAACTATACTTTACAATATTACACTACACATTAAAAATCAAATATTCGAATAATATTGTACACCGTCAGCATTTGGTCCCCGTTTTCAACATCGTAATTTCCGCATTTTCAATATACCCCACGTCATCTATTAACTTCATCAAATCAACGCTCTTACATGTCCAATTTAATACAAACCACTCTTGAAATACATCCGATACTAATAAGAACAAGATGCGAAAATTTCTGCGAAATCGATCGAGTAGTTTCTGTGTCTATTTCCTTTTATTCATATACAGACTACTAAAATAAAATATGTAAATAAAAAACGTTAAATGGCAAAGGGTGTCCACAATGGTAGAGCCTCCCCTCTTGTTTCAGGGTGCGCACGTCTGCCTATCAGACGTCCCCAGCAGAAAGTGTTTGGTGGAGAAGGAAGGAATGCCTTCCTTCGTCCCTTCGAGCAGCGTGGAATTAAGAAATTCTGAAGCACGAGGTACGGAAAAATGTTGGAAATTTGTTCAATTCTGTAATCCTTTAAGCTTCCCCCTCTTTTTGAACCACCAAAACAAACGTGTGACGTAATTTGACCTACAGGGTTGAAATGAAAACACTCAACCCTGTTATATTAAAAATCGGTCAGTGTCTATCGGGTGAATCCAATGCTGCACGACATGAAGGGTTAGCAGGCGTCATCCCTCGACATCATCTCCGAACAAAACGCATCCTCAGACTCGTGCAGCAGGGTTTCATGAGGAAACGGTGGAGCACCAGTCTTCGCTCCACCTTCATCGTGGCGGCGATGGTGTAACGGTTAGCGTATCGGACTGTTATACCCAAAGTTGGCGAGTTTAAACCCGATCGAAGCTGAATCTTTCGTACGCCTTCCTTCGGAGTGGACGTAAAGCGGGCTGTCTCGTTAGATTTACTTTCATGTGAAAGATCCTCAAGCCTAAATGACGCCTCTGAGCTAAATTCAAATCTCCTGTTTCATCGCCCAAGAAATACCTCCTTTGTCCGCTAGTGGGTGAAAGGAGTGTAGCGAAATTTGCGTGGTCAGACGGAAGAGCTGATGGCTCAAATATCGCCACGTAAAATAAAGCATCATTCAATTCAAGTCTAGCCTTGTAATTTTCGTGTGTTTCGGCGTCTCAAAAAAATCTGAAAAGGAAATACTTCGGCCTTAATGACGAACTTAACCGCGTTGCTGCATTTATTGAAGGTGCACAACCGTTCTTTACGAACTGTGCTAGACTCTTAGTGGAGTGTATTTTTGTTTAAAGCTCGTCGTGACTTTCTGTAGAAATACTGCCTTTTTATTTTTTATATTTTGTTCTAGTGCATTTTTAATTTTAATTTCTTATAGAAATATTTTGACAAAACGCTAAAACTTCAGGAATTGATTCTATTCATTCATAGAGAGAAAGTTTATTACAATATGTTTTTTAAAGTGCTTCATTACAGAGATTTCCGAACTTTCATTAATGCGTCATCCGAATTTTTTGACTTTATTACTGGACTTAAATACCATACTCTGGTCACAATATTGTAGTTACATGAGTAGTCATGTCGCGAATCAAATTCCTGTTCACCTCAACACTTCCTAACATCCTCAGATGTTTTCTCACAGTCTCAGAGGTAACCGTTTCTGAGAGGTTTACGTGTTTTCTGTAATTTTCACGCTGCCGTGAACATTTTTGTTTCTGTCGTATTTAGCCATTGTAAAGAACACAAAACAAAGAACTCGCTGGCACGAATAATATGTATGCATTCACGGATGACAATGCTTTGAGAGAGCATAGTTTGTACCAGGATCGATATCCAACCCACAGATTGCCAAACCATAAGACATTTTACAGGATCCATCGCCGCCAACCGAACACCGAACCGAAATTTTACTATAAAAACAAAACCAAGAGACACTAAAAGTGTTCGATGTACCATGTGACAGTTGTGCGTTATAAACGGATTCTTCGTTCTCTGGGTCACAAACTGTGCACTGCACCGAGCATTTTTTTATCACATTCAGCATTCAATGCAAAGGTAAGCCCGTATTCAGGCAAGGAGGTCATTTTGAACATTATTTCCAGGTGATACGAAAACACTGCTCTCAAACTAGCAAGGTGATTACTATTAAGCATTTCTGGACCTCATATTGTAATAAACCTTCTCTATTCCCTCGTTATAAAGAACCCATACCAGAAGTTTTGCCGATATGTTTTGTTACACGCTCTATAAATAAATTGACCTCGACGCGTTTCTTTCGATCGAGCCAAGTATTTTAAGCCCACCTTCTTCAGACATATTCTCCACAGGACCAAAACGCTAAAACTATATGCACTTAAAAATGCATATGTTGTTAAATATTATCTATCAAAGAAAATTTCAATTCCTAGCATGCGGAGGAAAGAGAAAGAAAAGTTGTGAAAGTAAATTATAATTGAAAAAAAAAAGTTACTTGATCTATTGTTCATCAAATGAATCATCAAATTGTTCATCAAATGAATCAAAGTATAAAAGTTCAAAGATGGGTATTATATAAATATGAGACTAACGTTTTAAAAGCATACTCACATTGTGTGACCAGTAGGAATAATCATAATTGAAGCTCTTGGTAGCATCTTTAGATCCAGGAGGAAGTTTTGGGTTCACGATATCTGTAAAAAACAAAATATTTATATTATTTAACAAATAGTTATAACAAAATATTAGAAAAAATATTTTCGTCATAAAGCATACACAAAATTTACCGAAATGTTTATTCAATATGTAGTATTTGAGTATAATACAATCTGACCTCCAAACATCGAACCTTCATCAAAATTTTCTATAAGTCGAATTATTTTTCTGTCTTTTTAAAATTTTGTTTAAAAACGTTTCTATACATAGAACATTATTTATAGCGAACTCATTTTCTGTCTGGACTACTTTTTTCTATGAAATAAAAATGAAGACTTCATATAATAAATTATGTTCAACAATGCGGAAAGATTTTCGATTGAATGTGTTTCACTGAGTTAACAAGTGTGAACAGATTTTTAATGGAGTGCATCTCATGGGAAACAAATTATTAGAAAATTTTATTTTTAAATGATTTGGTTAGGTATGTTACTATACTAAGTTCGTGTTACTATTCGGCAGGAATTTTTTAAAAAAATGTTTGTTGAATTTTACATTTTCCCAATTTTTCTAAAATTGTTTAAAACTAACTGTTGCGGAAATGTCACGATTATTTCTATATTTCGAAGTTTCAAAAAATAGAATATTATCTAAGGAACCGTCAGTTCCGCAATAAGGAGGTCCAATTGCATTTATGTTCATTTACTGTGATAATCATATTATAATTAACAAATCATTATAAAATTAACAATTTCTAAAAGCTGGTCAACGTAAATAGTACAATGACTTGAGGCAGCAACCGCTCATCGAAAGGGTCGAGGGTTCGAATTGTGGCAAAGTAGGTTTTCACACTGCAATAGTGATATGGTAGTAAAAGACAAACCTAATTACCCTATATGACATCATCTCGATTATTGCCATTTTCATAATTTCCCCGTAACTTTTGGACTTGGTCGTCAATATCCCGACAAGACGCCCATTTGCTGTCACTGGGCGCGGCAACTGAAATGGTCAATAGTCCAGTGCGCGGAGTGCATGTTTTTTTTTATTGCGGAATGTGGTAATCTTCCTTCGCTGGATGAGTTCCGATGCCGACCTACACATCAACGAGGCTAGTTTGCTGTTTTGTCTCCGCTAGGTACCTCCCGACCACTGGGGCCGAGAGAAGATCTAAGCTTCCTACCGGTCTCCCGGCATGTGTGGTACTGTAGTGCATACAAGTGTGTGTGTGTGTGTGTATAGGAGTGGGGATAGGTCAAGCAAGAGGATGGTACGATCGCGCGCGATCCATGCCCCGTTTGGTAGGGTACTACTCCGGCATTCGCCGGGTATGATCGGAGAAACCACAGTAAACTACCGATTAGAGCAGCCGGCCTCTAGAATTCTCCTCCGGATAGCAAATGAATTCGACCTAGCTAGTGTCGAAAAATCTGCCACTGTTTGGACTCGAGGTCCACCAGGTCAGAAGGACTGCAGGCATGTCAGTTCATGCCTGGGGCCACCTAAGTCGGATTTAGGTTGCAAGACGTTTAGGAATCAAGAAGCTACTCTAGCGGTCGATTCTGCGAAAACCTGCGTGTTTTACTTTCTCGCGTACTACTTAAGTAGAATCGAAAAAGTATTGCAATGCTGCGGCCAAAAATAGGGATTTTTCGACAGAAAAACATATTTGCAGGGGCTGGGATATCGAAAAAGTAATAATTCTTGTTCCTCTATGTAGTGAATAACGTCGTCTATCAAGCTGTGTAGTAGAGTTCACATTTTGTGGGTTCTTAATACTGAAAAATTGGTAGGCGGCAAAATTCTGTCCGGCCAGTCTGACTTGTCCTGCCAGTTTCTCTGAACTACGTAAGCGATTAAACCGTAGGCAAGATTTTTTATCAAAGTTGATATTTCTCGATCGATCTGGCTCGCTTTCAACAGGATACTCGTTTAAGTAAGTCTCTCGATGGTTCATAGTAAACATGTTCGCTTCCCATACCCAAGGACCCGGGTTCTACTAGGCACGAAGGCAAATTAGTGCCTTCCTTAGTGCAGCGAAGCGTATGCGACTGGTGTAATTGGGAAGTTACTGCAGTGTGAATTATGTCCTGAGACGACTTGTGCAAGGTTTAAAAAAATAATTTAAGTTAGTTTTTTTAACTACTGGTCATGAAGCGACCACTTTGATTGTTTACATTGGGGTAACTGAACCCCGGGACACGTAAGGACAACACAAGCATACACAAACATGCATGCCCGAGGCGGGATCCGAACCCATGACTCTTAGAGCCGAGACAACTACCGCCCGGTAGCCTTAGCGACCTCGGCTATCCAGGCTGACTCGTGCATATTTCTTAAGTAGAGGATAGAACACCACATATAACATTACATAAACTACAGTAAATTAAATCGAAATCGAATAAGTCGACTTGTGATGGGTTAAGAGGGAAGATTTTCCACATCTTTAGGCAGCCATAAAGTCATAATACTCGGATCATTAACATCTCCATTAATTTTGCGTGCATGGCGGTCGCCCATAGTGATTGGGCCGTTTGCGCTGACCCATTGTTGGAGCTATGTGGTAGAATATTTGCCACTTTTATCTAAACATTACTAAATGACTATTTAAAACAGTTTTCTATTCTTGTGTCTCTCCATAGAGTCAACAACACTTCATCATTAAAATGTTCCCCCATCCGAGTGGCTCGCCAAAATTGGCACGCTCGTTTCGACCAACTATTTCCGTCACGACCCAAAGGGAGCCGGTCCTGCGTGGAGAGGGCAAAAATTCTCCCCCAGTTTCAGCGTCCCACGCAGGCGTAATCTCGGTGCCCTGAGCGGCCCGCTCGTCAATGGGCCGGGAGCGCGAGCTGCGGCCCGCTTATCGCGAGCGTTACGCAAGCGTAGTACGAGCGCGTTGCCCCGCACGAGGCCTAAATTTACGCACAAAGAGCACGCGCGCCGCTCGCCCAGCCGGGCAAAGGCCGCCCCGCGCCGCCGCGGGCTGATAACCGACGACCACAAAGGAGGCGCCCGGCGGCGGACGAGGAGCCGGAAGGGGGAAGGCGAAGATGGCGGCGGGGGCGAAGGCGTGGCGGCGGCGGGTGTGGTTATGGCGGCGGCATTGGAGGTTGTGGCGGCGGTGGCGGTGGTAGTGTCGGCGAAGGTCGTGGTGGCAGCAGTGGTTATGGCATCGGCGGTGGCGGGGTGACGCGGTGACATGTCGATGTGTTTGCGGCCGCGGCGGGTGGCAATGGGGCGATGGCGGAGGTGGTGATGGAAGGTGGCGGTAATGGGCGGGGGGTGGCGGCGGGGATGGCGGCGCGGGCGGCGTGGGGCGGGCGGGCGGCGGGGCGGGCGGCGGGGCGTGGCCGGGGGCCCGGGGCGGGGGCCGCGGCGGGCGCGGTCGGCCGGCAGCGGCGGCGGTCACTCGTCTTCACAACATCCATTCAGAACGAGGCCGCCACGTGTTCCGCGCTGCATAACCGCACACGCTGTGGATCGTGGTTTGCATTGAAGCACAGGGTCGCAGACGTCTTCGTCTTCGTAAGACGCCTTGGCCCAATTTGAGCCGCGGCTCTTTACATTAGCACCACTACCGGAGTCTTTGAAGATCTTAGGGGATGAGTCGTATGGGGGAGGAAGGGCCCGCCCGGCCCTAAGGAGGCAGAGTAAAAGGGAAGGTTCACGCTCAGTTCGTAGCCTTTTCTTTAAAGAACTGCTTCAGCATTGACATGGAATGGCAGGAGAAAACCAGGACACGATCGATAAGAGCTGTTACTTCTAACCAGAAGGTAAATTAGGTAGAGGAATTGTCTCGACACAGCCACTTCGCTGGTGGCGATAAACCACCTCGAGATTTCCCACGAAGCTTCGGTCTCTCAACTGCAGACGCTAACGCACACTGAAGCACAGGATCTTACAGGTTAACACGTTAACAAACATATTTGTTAATTGAGAAATTTTGAAATCAAAAGTCATGAAATTCAAAATGTGGTGCGAATGATATCGTACCTACAAGAAAATAAGATTTTTTTCTCTATCGCACACATGAAAGTCTCCGTAAAACTATAACCGGTTAAGAAAGTCTTGCGGTATACAAGAAACATTAAAAAAATACATTTATTGAACTTCCAAGCGTATTCTCAAATAGTTTTTTTTCAATTCAATTTTCATTTAAAATTCAGGATCATACATGGGACATCTTGTATCATGGATTTACACATTCATCTTAGAAGATTTAATTTATGATTGAAAATCTCAATTTATTTCCTAGGTTTTCCCATTATATAAAGAGATACTACTAGTAAAGCAAAGACTGGTTCGTGTCTAATCACCAGCTCAAGCGCAAGAACAACCCAGAGTTTCATGGCGATTGAACCATTCTCGAGAATGTTAATCACGAAAGTCTTGGTGCATAATATAAATATGAAAATATGAAGAAAAGCTCTAATTATAAACCCCAAATGATGAAACGTATACCACCTGCATTCCGACACAATGCCGTGTGAGAGCCAGTGGGGACGGGCAAGATGCAACGAGACGGGGACCTGCGGGACCCGGCTGAAGGTGACGCCGTCTGCAGGACGAGGATGCCAATAAAGTTACTTTTTACACTATCAACATAATCCTTCCTTTTCCTAAACGAAATACTCGTAGTAATGAGAACTGGTCGGAATGAGCGGTACTACGCAACTCCGCCTCTTCTTAGAGTCAGTAGTTACTACTCAACAACTCTCACATTTTTTCCAACACGATCGTTTGGGAGAGTTGCTGCGCGTCAATATTAAGATCCTGATAGTATGAGTGCCATTGCAGCGGAAAGTTGTGCGAACACTACCGCGCGCAGTGCACTTAGTACGGGTTTATTTTTCATGGTTGTTTCTCAATGCCTCTTTATTCTGGGTAGTTCTTTCGAAATTTCTGTTTATTCTGGGTAGTTGTTTCTCAACACCCTGATTATTTTTCGTGGTTGTGATGATATCCCTGTGTTTTGTGGTTGTGCTGTAATCCTAGTCCATTTTTGGTGGTTGTGCTGCAATCCCCGTTTATTTTTGTTGGTTGTGCTGGATTCCCTGTTTTTTTGTGATGTAACCATAATTTATTTTGTGCTATTTATATATTATTTTCATTTGTCCAAGTGTTAGGCCACTTCACCCAAAAATCGACCAAGATTTTAAAATTCGCATTCCCCCTCACTACCTTTCGCACACACAGGTAAAAGCCACATAGCCATCGTGACGTCAAACGCTATGCGACAATCATTCTGTATTCTCCCGTTTAAATTATGCCTAATATATAAGATCTGACATCTTTCCTAACACGAGTATTTATTTTAGTATTATCGTCATATCTACATGTGAATTTTGTGAGGACTGCAAAAGCTTTGCCCTTTAGAGCTATGTCGTCACAATCAATAACGACTGTCGTCATTCCCGATTCACGCTAGTTTCTTGACTCTACAGAGATAAAATACACAGTGATCGCGCAATCGAAGGGAATCCGTGTCCGCGTAGTCAGTGTTTCGCTACTCCCGGAAGGTCGGAAAATTTATGTTTCGTGATAAGCAATGTCCGTCATTGGGTTCCTAAGAAATGCCGGCGAAGCAATTTGTAATGTCAGTGGGGGCGATGGGAAAGATTGTGGATGAGGTGATGTAAGACGTGAAGACGGTGGTGATGGGTGGTGATGGGTGGTGATGGGAGGTGATAGGGGTGGTAACAAGAGGTGTGTTGGGAGGTAACGAAGGTGGTAATGAAGCAGGCGATGGAAATGATTACGGGAGGGATAATAGAGGTTATGACGATTTTTATGTAATTACTTATTTTTGTCGTTCTACTTACCGTTTTCGTTAATCTTAGCGTATCGTCGTCAACCTAACACAGTATCAATTTTTTGTTTCATATTTTTACATATTATCTACTATAGTACAAATTTTGCTATTTTCACGAAATATTGTTTTTGTTCTATCAATTTTCTCAATATAATTACACTTTTTTAAACGTTTTTTTTTAAATCTGCAACTTCCCCTACATTGTTACTGCGTGATAGGTATTTCGCTATGTGGAGAGACGGTCGGATGTTCTCACAGTGCGGCGCGCCTGCTTCAATTATCTCAGTAGCGGGAGGTGCATGTCAGCGTCCGAGATCATTTTTACCTTCAGGTGTGAAGAGTATCACTGACACCGCGTTTCGTGACCTTTAACCCTAATCTCCGAGAAACGTTGGCGATCGCCGACGTATAACTTTTCGATAAGAATGCTGCATGTTACAGTAATTGTTTAGATACCACCAGTTTGTACGATGGCTGCTATTGCGTCTAGTCTGTCTACAAAACGGTCCTGGATGGTAATGGGCGAAGTTTTCACTACTGATGGAAATGTTGTATGCTCAAAATGTGCATCAACGTGTGCTCTCCGATTTTTAAAACGATCGTATTACTTTTTTAATTTGTTAAGGTCATTTTTTCTAAAAGTTACTTCGTATTATGTAAATTTGTTTCATAATTAGTGAATTTTAGTATTACTTATTATATCCGATTTTACATATTTACTACATATTCTTACCGTTTTCAATACATATTATGTACATATTTTGACGATTTACACTGCATATTCTTCCGGTCTCTAGTTATGACGGAGGACGCAGAAATGGAGATGACGGGGGTGAGGAAGCGGTGAGAGGAAAGGTGATGAAGCTGGAGAATGAACACAAGGAGAATCAGAGAGCGGTAGGGGAAACGGAAGAGTCTTGACGAACACTTCCGTGAATTCATTTCCCCCCACTACTTCCACGTGAAGTACGTGAGATTCGAACCTCGCTTCCCGGAAGAAAGTTGTCGGACGTCACATCACAGGTCAAGAGATCAATACTGCTTTCAGTGGAGCAGAAGTTAGGGCCACTAGCCACAATCACGCGGCTTTCGAAGTACTCAATCCACACAACTTCAGAGAATCACATCAAGCACACTGGCATTTCATTGAAGTAAAGAAAGAAAACTATTGGAACGATTTTCGAGAAACAATTGAAAGCGTGATAAATTCCCTGCAAAATTATAGTGTCGTTTTCAATTTCGCAGAACTTGTTTTGAAGACTAATAGAATAATATTTAGTTTTTGGGGGTCCATCCTAATTAGTGTTAAAAATTTGTTTTTCAAACGCGAATATACGGCGGATTGTCTGACAGACGATTTAGAATTTTTTTGGTATGTCAGTCCCCTGTCCACCTTAAACGCGCCCGTAAAAAAAGAATCAGATAGTCGAGTTTTTGCACGATTGTTTAACTTTGTGTTTACTACGAACACCACAAAGTAAATACGTATTACAGACAGATGAAACAGAAGTTATACAAAAAGGAGGCACTGAGAACTTTTTCGAAATGATTTTTCTCCACGTTTTCACGCCAGACAGAAACCTTGAAGAGCAGAATGCCGAATAATGATGAATAAAACATTAATGAATCAAAATCCTATTAGGAAATAAAGGACGCGCGCTGCGCTGTGCCCGGAGGCATTGACATTGGCGCCGCCTGATAGCGCCGTTGAGTCCAGGGACAAGGCAGGCAGGCGCCGCCGATAGTTCTTGCGTCACTCTCCGAACGCGAACCCGCGCGCGCCACCCAGGCAATGCGGCGGTCAGGGGCTGCAGCAGGTCGCTTCACGCTCAGAGATAGCCACTCCGATTCTCGCGAGTGTCGTGCCGACGACCACGTGCTATCACCGGGAAATATCGACGGTTTCACTGCTTTACGAAAGTGCGGTTTTCGTAATTCAAAAGGCAACTTTGGTATCGTAGTTTATAGGTATAAGATAAATTAACGGGAGTCTTCAAAAATATTCCTATTTTAGAAATTAGAATCTTCACGTCTTTACATCACATACTTAAATTTAATATTTTTATCCAATGCAACGAAACGTAATTTCATTTATTCTATTGCTTTGGCAAAACAAACGAAGTTATTCTCTGATATAATACTCGACTATACAAAAAAGGATTGCAATTGTTTTATAAAACTGATTAATCCCATATTGAATACAAAAGAGTTATTTTTTGACTCATTTTTTATAATTTTAGAAATAAGATTGCTTGAGAATGGAAAGACACACAACTTGTTGTAATTGCAAACTTATTGCTGCAGTATTGTATGTATTTGTATTGCTTCCCTCTTCCTGATAAAAGGTCCCACTCGATTTCTATTGCCCCTTCACAATCCCCCCCTTTTTTATATATAAAAATCTCCCGAACTTATAACATTGGTTTGTTCATATTTTATGCTTGTATATTTTTTAAAATAAAATACTACACTTACTTCATTAAACCACAACTTAAATTTATTTCAAAATGTGTTTTAAAACTTATCTATAAAATTAACTCAATTGATGCGAACAACACATATCTATCTGAAATTTATCTCTCAGCAAGATCCTAGGATATGCTCAAAATCCTTGTTGTATATGCTTTATGCACCACCCTAAAAGACTATAAATTTCGAACAGGAGGAAATAAATTTAAAAAAATACTTTTTCATTTGTGAATAATGTATCATTTCACTCTCTAGTATAACTAATTACTACTTTCAAACTTTTTGTGTTTGCCCAATTCTCACTATAGAATGAAATTAAATCACTTTCCTTCTTAAAAAGGGAATACACCCCGTTCTGGGATATTTCTAAATCTACAACTCGCTCCAGGTAACGATTCGGACTCTTGAGTGGTCTTGAGGAAAACCCACTCCTCGGCAGCCGTCCGGTCTCTCATCTGCACCGTGCTTTTCCTCATCTGCCGTTCGTGGGCGTGTCCCTCTGTCTTTGTAAATCGACTAGCTATCGATAGCCACCAAAACCTATCCTCGCATCGCACCGTCCGGCACACGTTTTCCTGCTCTGAGTCTGCAAGGGTTTATCCTGGGGACCGCCGCCGCCGTGAGACTTCATCGCTGCCTCTCTTTTACCCCTCATTGCGGCACAGCTGCTGCAACGCGTTTCATACTTTTATAGAACAATTAAAGATGAATTTCTGAATTGCTAGTATACTATATTGAAATGTCTCAGTAATTGCGATTCCCTGGAATTTGATGTCGGTCGCGATGTTCAAAATTAATTAATAGAATGATCTCGTTGAAGGGAGTTTTTACTTAATGTACAATAATTTACTATCATTAATTGATCCATTTTTTGTTTTCGCACGAATTTTTGTTCATTATAGTTATACCTTTTCACGTAACTACTAGGTCACTTGATACGCACTTGATTGCAGGGCAGTGTAGTGTAGTGTGGTGAAGTGCTAAATAAACTTGAAGTCGATTTAGACATAACTGGAAACTAATTAGAACTAGAATATCAACCCCTACATCTAATTGCACATTTTAATTGTAAATGTTTGTAATAGTTTTGAAATTACTCTAATTCTAATTGTAACCATGTTTGCTACCGAGCATTAGCTCAATGCAAACTTTAATAAATCTATCTACGTCGAAGAAGTATTTATTTCCAGAGTCACGTCGAGTTATTGCGGTTTAACTGTACCGTGTATAATATGTTTGATCTCTTGTATAGTACTGAGAATTAAACCCCAGACCCACTTTTGTAAGGTTGTTTTAGTTCCTTTTTATTCATTTTTGGCGGGGGTGGTTCCTTGCAACGTGCTGGCCACGTGTGTGGTCGGTGCTGTGCAGGGACGGATCCAGCCGAACCTTTTTTTTTATTTTGTGGAGGGGAGTCATGTGCTGGAGATATACTATACAATATTATATTTTAAATAATTACATAATTCGAATATAAATTAATATTTAAATCAATTATGCCCAATACAGGAAGGTAAACGAAAACCAGAGGCTGCTGAATCTGCCAGAGTTGCTGTGATAAACGCGTGTCGCGACGCAGGACTTCCTCGTGGTGTCCAATGCTCGGCGAGAGCCGACGCGACCCGACGCTCTGCTAGTCAGCGCGCAGCTGCTGGTAGAGCGGGACGGTGGTCTCGCTGAGACGGCAGATGCCGATAGAGGCCACGTCCCTCCCCCCTCAAGAACATAATGTCATGGCGTTTTAATCAATGTCTTCAAAATAATAACCATATCTCATCCCGTTGAAAACAGTATTTCCATCAATACTATATTGGTACCTATTTTAATCCAAGATTAAGAACAATTTCCTCACACTATATCTCTCATCACATACACAACAGTATTACTATTATGAATATACTCGTATTCAAGCGAATAGTTAAGAAAAACATTTTCGGTGGTCCGAACTGAAATCGTGTGAGTCCTCTCAAGATAGGACAGTCGCTGACTACTGAACCGTTCACCGGATCGGCTACTTACGAGAAGGAATACCAGTTTAGTTTCACCAGTCCGGACAAACGCGAACATTTGTGACTAGAACCTCGTTTGTTAAAACTGCTTGGAACAAAACCCATTGACTGTTGGTTTTCTTCACGATAGAATGGCACAGTTTCGTGGTTAACCTTATTCTGTGGGCATAATTTGCGTCGAGTACAGTTATGTTAAATCTCTGAAGATGAAAGGGTTCATTAAACATGAGTCGTGATAATCGGCACCAACCTCCAGATTTTCCCCTCGAGGTATCTGCCACCAGCCGGACACCGCCCCAGCCAGGACAAACATTAAGCTCGCGACTACTCTCCTGGCATGAGTGGTAGTGTAAGTAAAGGAACATGCGCTTGAAATCGATAGAGAAAAAAACACAGAAATAAACCTTTCATATCACATCTGATCCGATCAGTCTGGCAAAGAAATGGCACTCGTGTTACGATATAATGAACACAAACATTTTCTTCTATATGAACATTATTTATCGTTCAATTCTATTTTCACAGCTTAATCAGTGAAGTAGAAGTTTGTCAATGAACATAATGATCTGATGTTTTGATAACCTCGCGACTGAAATGTGTGGGTATGTAGAATACAACGACGCGTAAAAAGGAGTTATAATGAGGCACTATATCAAGAAATGATAGGAAGGAGCGTGATACCGCATTGGGTGTGATATTTTTAAAATTTGCCCCCAGATGACCCTAAGTTCAAGAGGTCTCGATGAACCATTTTTAGATGTAATATTGCACAGTGTTAATGTGAGGTTGCCCATTGGAAGGAATTACTTTCAGTACATCCAAATTTAGTTATATTCGTAATAGTCTATGCTCCAATATTAGTTATAGTCTATGCTTCAAACAGGAAGCTGACCACAATGAACAGAAGTTTTCCTTATAAAATGGATGACAAAATGATGAACGCTCGTGACTATCTTCCGTACTGCATCACAGGTGAAAACAGGATCTGACAATATACAACTCTCGCGATGAGAGAGTAGTCACTTCAGCGCGCTACCCGAAAACAGCTGATACATGCTTGGAAAGGGAAAAAATTCATCGTAGTAAGAAACAGGAGTGAATTTGACACGTTCGAGCATGTTCTATACATCTTTGTGATGTACGAGTCATTCTTAAAAAAACGTCCAGATAAAATGTTACGCAACCTGCTATCATGCAATTTAAAGAGTTGACCCTTCGTATAGCAACCAAAGTTCAAATGCACGTCACTCCATGTTCAATGACTTCGTAATCGTCAAACCGGGTGGTTTCCAGGTGGTTCCGGGTGATCTCGCTTTCAATTTTATTCTACGAATAAAGTAGAACTACATCATATCAATTCTCATTTTGTTATTTGCAATCATGTAACTATCAGATTTTAACGCGCAAGTCATACCGAGAACTTCAGACAACAGAAGCGATGGCTGTGGTTGCCACATACTGAAATGTCTACATAATTACCATTCTATTAACAGCGGTTTTTTAGTTTAAACTGAAAGAAACATTTCAATTTCATTAAGTCTTGCGTTACACACGAGGAAACAGCGGTATCTCTTAAGCAGCTCTCTGCCGAATTTAGCTCAGAGCCAACAATGCCGCTGTCTCTGCAGCGACTCTTGAGAGGTGCTACATTCGAATTCCATCGGTGGCGAATTTTCGACTCCAGACTACATAGCCTGAGGCCTGTTCTGTCGTAAGCAGTGACGCACTGAGTACGAGAATTCGGCCGATTTGAGTATTATGAGAACAGGTGCAATAACAAAAGCAAATACTCGCATTTTTTACTCAAAATCGAAACTGTTTCATTATTTTTTACTTTCTCGCACTTACTAACGTAATTTTGTAAGTTTCTTTCATCCGAGTTTTTGGGTACCTAAAGAAACCACAGACATTTCTCGCGAGGCCCCATGCTGGATAGTTTACATAAAATGTCTGCGTGCATTAAAAATTGTAAGAGATTGACTGAATAAAGAATCTGCGGCAAAGAAGGGAAGGGCAACAAAGGGAATCGAAGGAAAGAGATGTGAAGTGAAGGGAAAGAAAGGGAATGGAAAGGAAGGGAATGGCAGGGAAGGGAAGGGAAGGGAAAAGAAACGGAAGAGATGTAGATAGTAGTTAACATTAGGCCATGGATTAGCTCTAACATTACTCACAATATTGATTGATTGATTAGTATTTCCGGGCGTGTCAAATGCTAAGATCATTAGTCCCTTAAGTGTAATGCATGCTTTTACCGCGCGATGACGAGATCCGAAGCCGACCTACAAGTTGGCTTACGCGTTTTTCCCTCCAACCACGAATCTTCACCTCAACTTAGTCTCCCAAACTTGTATGGTAGTGTTGAGCATGGAATTTGTGTGTGTAAGGAATGAGGATAGGGTAAGGAAGAGAACGGAAAAATCGCGCGCGGTCCGTGTTCCGTTCGTTAGGATTCTGTTCCGGCATTCATCTGGTGTTGTTCGGAGAAACCCCAGAAAATGACCGACCAGAACAGCCGGCCGCCAGAATTCTCCTCCAGGCCGCGGCTGGATTCGACCAACTTCTAGTGTCGAAAATCAGAACACGAATCCTAGGACTTCCCAACCGATGGCACTGCAGTGACATAAATTGACGCCCTGCGCCATCTGGATAGTACTTACAATACGAAACTGATCATCGTTGTTAATCGTGAGCCATGAGACAACCTTGAGGCAACCAAAGTGTATATTCCCGAAACGGCGAGGAGGGGCAGGGCGGAGCGGGGCTGGCGGGGCGGGGCGGGGGGCGGGGCGGGGCAGGGTGTGGCGGCGGCGGCCAAAAGGAGCGGGGCGCGGCGAGACGCAAAGGGCGCGGGGCGGGGCAAAAGGAGCGGGGCGGCGGCGGGGCCGGCGGTTTGCGGCGCGGGCGTGGCGGGGCAAAAGGAAGCGGGGCGGGGCAGGGCAGGGCAGGGCGGGACGACGGCCGGCGGGTTGGGGGGGCGGGCGTGGCCGGGGAAAACGGAGCGGGGCGCGGCGAGACGAAAAGGGCGCGCTGGTCGAGCCGAGACGGAAGGGGTCGGGTCGGATCCAAGGGTGGCGTGGCGTTGACGGGGCGCGGAGAGCACGGCCGGAGCTGGCGCGCCTCTGGCGTGGCGGGCGGGCGGCGCAGTGCGCGGCCAACGCGGCGGCGCTGACGCAGCGGCGGCCCGCATGGGCGACGCCAACGCGACACGAGACGCGACACGGCCGGCGGCGGCGGCGGGTCGGGGCTGCCTCCGCGGTGCGGCGCCGCTGCAGCATTAAACACAGGGGCTAAGGCATGAAACGTCGATGTCGATATCA